CAAGACGTGTGGTTGCTTGTAATAAACCCAGGCACACAACAATCACAAATCCATTAGTCATTATCTGTTCAAGGAATTTATAACAGGCGGGGAGGGAGAGGGTTTAGTTTAAGACGTGATTTGGCATCTCTGTCCTACTGTAGGCCCCCACAATCCCGTTTGGCCTTTGTCTGAGCGCTGTAATTAATGACTTTAGGGAAAGAATTACCTTGTTTGGCAGCGTAGCAGTGACCTCAACCTGAGATTTACTTGCAATGGAGCGAGCTTAGGCTATCAAATTGGATTAATGCCCAAATTGCCAAGGATTTAGTTGGCAGGACTAAGCGGCAAACGTTGAATCAACATTTTTCACATAAGAGCGAATCTGACATGGACATATAGCGAGGCTTACTGGCTTTCTACCCTGCACTGTAAAGTCTGCGCGGTGGGAGTTTAACATTAGCATAATTACTGTGGTGCTTGTGAAATAATAAAAATAAAAACGGTCATTTGAAAGAGTTTGCAAAAGTGGTGCTTGTATACATTCACGGGCAGTTTGAAAGACCCACTGCTTTGTTAAAGAATAATGATCCCCCGTGAGACCCGTGCGGACAGGAAGATTAAGGCATTGTTCAGCAGAGTTGTATAATTTACGCATAACTGGGGCAGCTTGCATTTTTGTTGATTTTACATGTATATATATTTTTTCTATAGGCAGAGTGCGTTTTTACCACATGCCTCCAGTATTCTTGGCTGCTGTAAAAAGGGTCGCTAATGGAGACCACACGGCATCTAAAGACTAAAGGAGCTGTCCGTGGTGCTGAAGCTTTTGAGCGGCATAAAGTGTGAATAGCCCTGCGTCAAATCTCCACAACTGGAGGGACCTTGTTTCCATTTATACTTGTGCCCCGTGTCTGCCTTCACTCTGCCTTCTCAAGTGAAAGTGAGCAGCTCATGTTGGACCTGAAGGTAGTAAGTATTGAATGACGGTTGCTTTTACTGAAACATAAGAATGAGATAAAGTTCGAGTCTGTTTGAGTCTGTCTTGTGTAATGAGTACGATACATATAAATGTAACAAATTACATTTTGTTTATCTTGCTATCCTCGTGCTAATCAATACACTGTTTGCTGGTTGCATCTGTGGAAAGGATGCATGGCGGGGGTATGGTTTAGGCTGCTGCTTAGATTTAATTACATAATATTAAATCATAGGCATTACCAAAGCATGATTGCATGTCTGCTCACCAAAGAGCTGGCAGTTATAAATCATTGTCATGCCACAAATATCAAATGCATAGCGAAACAATGTCTATCATCTTTGCTTTAAAATGTTTTTTCTAAGTTGGGAAGACTTAAATCAATATCTTTTTACAAGCAAAACAAGAAAAAGAAAATCTTTACAAGGTTTCTCCATGGCTCACTTTTTTTCTCCCATTCTAGTCACACACACAGAAAAAGACACCTTGAAGTTCAGCTCTTAAAATCATCACACGATGATCAATAAATCATGAAACAGACTTTATATTTAATCTCATCAGACACAGCCAAAAATAAGGTCTTTCCTTTCACAGCAGACCATTAAAGCTCTCTGTTCCTATAGTTAATGTTAAGTGTGAACGAACATAAGCAAAAGAAATCTTTGATTCATTGTTAAATTCTATTTTTATGATTACACATTACTTTTACCATTTCTTAGTTATTTTATTTTTCATCATTGGGTAGCTGTGCCTCAGGAGGAAGAGTTGGCTATCTCCCAAATCAGAAGGTCAGTGGTTAAATGTGGTCTAAACCAGCTCCATAGTACTTCCAGTACATTTTTTTTAAAAAAAGGCATTAAATTATTAATTATAGCAGAAGCATAACAAGACAGAGAAAAGGCAATAAGAAAAACAATTCTTCAATGGTACGGTACTTAAAAATACTTCACGCTGACCCCAGCTGCTGTTTGCCATTATTTAAATACTTTGTTGACAAAGTATAACTTGAAATTCTGTGGAGCTGTCAGCAGGTTCAAATGCCTCCCGGTCTTTTGGATGGCTGCTTTAGAGGAAAGGGCCATGAAACTACAGCTTCCTCAACACAAGTGTTAGTCCTAGCCAAGGGAGCAACAAAAAGGCCAGAGAACATAAAGATGCAGACAAGACTTATTCAATAACCACAAGTGTTATATATTTGGGAGCTAGCCCCCTGAGTAATTAAAAATTGAGCAGTGTCATAAGGCATATCATAAAATATATTATAAAATAAAAGCCAAGAGTGAGACTTTGGAAAGTATATCATGTATTATCTTCTTTTGGCCAATTGTAATGCTGCAGGTTTGAAGGAGAGACCAGAAAAAGACAGTTAATCAAGAATTAGGAAGTTATAAAGTGACTGTGAGAGAAATGCTCAAATTAGAATTAAAAAATATTTTTGATTGTGATGATGTAATTTTCATAATTCAAATAGGGATGAAAAACTGTAAGATACCTCATGAAATTCATAAGCCTTGTTTCTGTGCATCAAAGTTAGCTTGCTCACTATAAAATGAGCCTTACAATCAATATCATTCTTTCTTTTTGAAATTATTTTATTTGCTCTCAACTTACATTTAATAAACAGGCATACAGCAGATTTTATTTGCAGGCATATTGGGAATATCATTGGATTTCAGAGTTGATGAAAAAACATGAGAGGCAACTCTAATGATCACTGGCAGAAAAAGACTTAAACAACTCATCACTTAGAGCAAATCATCTGATGTTTACAGACAGGTTGCTGATGGCATAATGGCTGTACTGTGGGGATGGCTGAAATCTTTGTCCTGTTCAAAGCAGTGCTCTTCAGCTAATCCTGGCTAAGTGCTTGAGACTATCCTCAGCTTTAAAGAATGGTTGAAGCCAGGCGGACTCTCCAGTGAGTTTGACACCAAAAGGACTGCAGCACCACCCTGAGCCCAAGCTTATCAGATCTCCTCATATCCCGACTTTTCAAAAGGGCAGGATCCTTTGAAGAGTTCTGATGATGGTGGTGATGATTGAGATGATGACGAAGACTAGAGAGACAGTGCTTTCTTACTCCTTGTTTTTTTGTTTTAATCTTTGCCTCTCTGTTTTTCCTGCTTCTCTGTTTCCCTGAAGGCAATCAAACTACAAACAAGAGAGTAAACAAAGAAATGGTTTATATCGATTCCTAGGCTTTATAGCTGTGGGTAAATGTGTTTATCTTCTGTAGCCACTACATTATACTTAGATTAAATACATATTTGATGGGGCAACTGGAGCAATGAGCAATGCACTGCTTTGAAGCATCCTCTGGCAAGAGTTTATTACATTTTGTTAATACCTTAATTAGGCAAAGCATGAGAGAAATTAATCCCTGGAGAACTGGCTTCTTAAAACATTGTCCAGCCACCCCTGAAACCCAAAGGAATAATTAGACAGAGCAGAGAAATGCGTTCGTCCCTGAGAGGATTCTGGGATAAAGTTTACCCCCTAGTCTTTGACAGGAACTGGGCTTTTGTTTGCACACAGACTTAACTCTGAGAGGCGTAACAATCAAGAAGCACACATCAGCTTTAATGACAACAACACTGCATTTTCTATCCCCAGAAACTCATTGAAAACATCTCACGGTACTGTACGTGGGTGAGTGAGTATCTCGAGTGAAGTCAACACAAAGAAAAGCCATCGTATTTCAGTTTTAATTAACGGAACGTATATTTGTTTGGCAATTAAACCAAACTGATTGAAGCTTGTTTTTCTGCCACTGAGGAAGAGGAAATCAGGAAAAAGGTCAGCAGACATGCAGACGCCCAGACAGACTTCTGCTGTTAAAGCTTTGTGCTCATTGTTGTTTTCCCATCTTAAATAATCTGTCCTCTCTGTAGTCTCAATCAGACACAACAAATGTGTGTTTAAACTCTGACCCAGAGTGCAAGATTACCCAGTGAGCTACCTTCATCTTTAAAACAGTTACTTGAATGCATCAGTGACTCCATCTGGCTATAAATCACAGGGCCTGTTACACTCTATATCTCTTTTTGCATTCAGTCAGCTTTACATTTCTAACACTAAGAACTACCATTTTACATATATTTAACATTAAATCCCAGTGAGATTAAAACCCCCTTTATAAGATAGCCCTGGCCATACACTAGACCTGATCATACAAAATAAAATGTAGCATGTATATAATGACAATCCACAAAAAACAGCTATTTAGCAGCCTTATAACAAAGCCATCTTTTATGTCATTACACATTATGCCCTTAATTTCAAAAATAAAAATTAATAGTATTGCAATGAAGCACTTAGGAGTTTTTGCTTAAAAAAAAACAAAGAAAACAAAAAAAACCCTAACAATGGGATGCGAATCATACTGCTTTGTAACTACTATAATGTTTACCATGCTCAATATGTGAAGTCAGAGTATTAGCATTCTAACAATCAGCTCTTAACACAGAGGGAACTGAAGAAAAGTGAAAGCAAATGCAAAAGGATATCTTCATCTGAAGGTGGCACTGGACATTAAGTTAATGATCCATTTAAGTTGTTACATTCATAAAGGGAACATCAAATCCGCCAATTCATTTTCTTAACCACTTATTAAATGCAGGCTGCAACTGTTGTTGTAGAAACAGGTTGCACCCTGGTTAGACAGCCAGTATGTTCACATCAAATATTTTTCCAAACAATTCAATAAAAAACCACAAAAGTCAACTTTATGGTGCCTTTAGAAAGTCAGATGTCCTCTCTTCTATCCTCGGTCTACCTGGGCGGAGCTCATCTTGGGCTCCGCCTTTGGCCCATGTACCTGGCCTGATTACTCACGGGCAGCTGATCTGCCTGATTACCTGGCCGCTATTTAAGATGGTGATTCAG